GGAAAGATGTTGCGTGTTTGTCTTCAAACTGTGCAAGAAAGGATTTGGGAAATGTCATTACTGTAGCAGTAATGCAAGAGCCAGAAGAAAGAACATAGAGAGAAATGAAGACAGTTAAACAGATAGAAACTGGCCAATTTTCTTTTGTAGATAGTCATGTAAAGAAAGTTATATGGATCATGAATCTTTTAATATATATTTACACATATATATAATTAAGAGTATTTCTTAATGATTCCATTCTTTAGTTGTTTTTAAAAATGTTATTAAATAATATTTTGAGATCAGAAGCTGATATAAATAATTCATTAATGGAACTGGAAATTATATAAAAGGTAGCCATCTTCCCCTAAACATACAAGAAGCAAAAGGTGGCCACTTTCTCCAAACGATGTATTTTTATTCTTTTGATGGTAATCAAAGTATTACTATCTTTCCTATTGAGATCTTTTTGTTGCTGTTCCTTTAACATTCATTTCAACCAATATTTACTGAAGCTCTATTAAGACTGTCATAGAGGGGCACCTTTGGTGGCACAGTCAGTTAAGCATCCGACTTGGGCTCAGGTCATGATCTCACAGTTCGTGGGTTCAAACCCCGCAACAGGCTCTGTGCTGACAGCTCAAGGATTCTGTGTCTCCCTCTCTCTATACCCCTTCCCTGCTTGTTCTCTCTCTCTCTCTCTCTCTCTCTCTCTCTCTCTCTCTCAAAAATAAAAATTAAAAAAAAAAAAAAGACTGTCATTGACAACTGAAGACCCAGTCTTTATGCTTGCAGCATTCCCAAATCTAGTGGTGGGACATGGAAATACAAGCGGAAAATACACTGTAATATGATAAATGCTAGAACAGAAGTACAGCACATGCAAAGTATGATGGGATGCAGCCAAGGGGCAGAGCAAACTTTCAGGCTCTGTGTGTTCAAGGAACAACAGACTCAATATGCCTTTCTACATTCTGACAGAGTGTGGGATCATGGCAGTCATTTAAAAAGGAAGTAAGATCCAAGTACAAAAGAAACGAGAAATCCAAGTACAAAAGATCCAAGAAAGAAACGAGAACACTTACACTGCTAGAGACACAAATTGCTCTAGAGACACAACCCAGGCTAGACTTTACACAGTCCCATAGTGAGACTTCCCTTGAGTGACAGAATATCAAGGATTAGCACAGCAGAGTGGAGAGACAAATGAGTATGTGTGTTCAGATTTCCTGGAATCTATACAGAGATCCCAATTTCCCTTCACATAAGTAGCACCATTGATGTAAGTAAGAAACAAAGGTTCCATTAAGGCTTATTATGTTATTTAGATACACTGGTGGAGAATTTTTCCGCCAAAACTGTTTTAATTGCTTATTTTAGGTGACATAGTATGAAGTAGTATCCTATATCACATCTATTTTCTATTTTAGTTATGAGGTCCAGAATCATCTATGGTGTGTGTGTATGTGTGTGTGTGTGTGTATATACATACACACACACACATATATACTATAAAACATAGTAAAGACCTCATGAATAAATGCCAGTATCTGAAAACCAGGTAAACAGCAACGTCACTTGAGTTTCCTTTACAAAAGGTTATATACATTATATATAGACAGTTTTTTTTTTATATTGCCTAAAGTAAGACATCATTATTTTTTAAAGGCTTCATTTTATTGATTTACTTTGTTTTCAAATTTTCACATAAAAATTGGGGAATGGCAACTAAGTTTTTATAATCACCTATCACCCTCAAATATATCAAACGTGATCTTAAAAGAGACCTAAATGTACTAATATTTAACACGTTAATAAAGCATCAATCCAATTATTCACTTCTATAATGTAATCACAATAACATTTGTAATTGTTGGTATCACTACAAACAGAGATAGTTTTCTTCTTGCTGTTTTCTGGCTATGAAATTCTTCAGTACGTGAGTGTATTATTAACAAACATTTTAGTAGAAATCCAATGTCAACAAAATCAACATTCCAGTCCTGTGAGCCTATAGTTCCCTCAATACTAACTAGATATGATTTTGTGATTTCAATGGATGCATTCAAAACATTGAGCATTTGGTACTCCATTACCATCCCCATCAGCACCACACTAAACAACCTAGAACTGCATCTACTGCATGTAAAGACTCTTCTGTCCAATGTGCGCCATTTCTATGATGCAATGAATGTGGAAGAGATTTCTACTCAAGGTTTTCAGTATTTATTACAGTGAATAAAAGAGAAGTAAAACACTGTGGAGAATAATTTTGTATTTATTCCTTTGATGACTTACAGGACAGTCTTTTCTATAGAAAATAGAAATCATACATTAATAGAAAATCTAAGTAGAATTTTTAAAACCTCATTTCAAAGGCTGGGATTACATGTTACTAAGTAAAGCAAAGACATTTTGGAATAAAACTAGACATGAGTAGCACAACTATATGTAATTGCTAACCTCTAACCTTGTGAGTATCATGAAGTGGCAATTTATTTGAAATGATATTAAATAATTCTAAGATTTTATATATCATTTATATAAAATATTTAAGATTTAATACAATTTGTATAAATTTTACTAAATTAAGAGTCTGCAGATTTTCACATTCCTTTCCTACAACGCAGCATAGCCAAAAAGGTCTTCTTTGAATGAGGTAAGAAGTGCCGTATATATTTTATAAGAATTACTTATAAATGCATCAGCTACAATTATGTCATCAGGAATTACTTATCCTTACCTTTCTGACTCAGAATACCTAAACAATTAAAGAACACAAATTTAGAAGAAAGAGAATACAGGCTGTGCAAATTTTACTGATACAGCATATATTCGCCCCCTATTATATAAACTTTTGCTAGTTCAGTTTTATTAACATGATAATTTTAACACAATCACTTATTTGTCTGTGGAGCTATTCCTTTCTCATTTTGCCAGCTAATTAGCCCAAAGAAATAGATGTGCTCCCACATGATTTATACATCGAATGTCTAAAATCACTCATATTCTTACTCATTTACAGAACAAATGGCTATCTTGTCCAACTTCTATAAATCCCGGCACTGTCTCAACTCATATCTCATGATCATGACCAGCAAAATCTCTGAAAATCATGCTTAATGTGCACACAACTTTGTGTCACTTGCTGACATTAACCAAAAAAAGCCTGCAAAACTGGCTTCACTTTCCATTTGTCATCAGCAGTCAGTTTCAAGATAGGAATTTAACCATTGAAAAATCAGATTCTCTGGATTATATTAAAACAACAATAAAACAAACAAATACTAGTTTCTGGTGATAATTGTCTTATTAGCCAGCTTGTAGCATCACATTTTGTGTGTGTACTGTAGCTTCTTATTCTAGGGGACACTAATTAGTTTTAAATGGTGTTAAATACCATCCCTGCAGTTGCAAGTGCTTCTCTGGGATTTTTACTAGAGAAAAGAACTCCTGTAATTTAAAACCACTTTGTTTTCTTCAGCCACAGCTGTTAGTGAAACACTGACCTGTAGAAATCTTAAAGGTTTTCAACCCTCTCTCATTGCCATTAGTCTGCATTTATTTTCTAACACATCTTTTCCCCTTGTACCACTGCTCCTCCATAAATCCCCAGCCCCCAAATTGCTTTCAGCAGAGAAATTGCATTTAGCTAGTTAAACCCTTCTCTCTTTCCCTCCCTCCTCCCCCCTTACAAAGCCTTGGCTACTCTTAAAGAAAATTCTCCAACAACGTGTCAATTTTATATTGGCCACAAAGACAACTTCTGTTGGGGGAGGGGGAGGAAAGAGGGACTGGAGCTTGGCTGTCCCTTTCCACAGACAGGGATCTTTGTGGAGATCAGAAAACATTTCCTGCATAAAAAATCAACACACTCTCTAGTTGCAGGATCAGAGAGTGAGAGCGAATATGTATCAGCCTGTCCTCAAACGAATGGAACACATCCGTTAACCTTCCAAACAGGAAAAGTCATTTTCTCAAAATATGTCCGCTTTCTTGCATTATTAAACATAATCTACAATCTGAAATCCTCCGGTAGCTCCCCCACTGGGGATTGGGTGAAAGCTGAAAATCACTCCTGTACTTTCTCTTTTTCCTCTGCATTTCCGTTGCACTATTTTTTCCATCTAGCTCATCTCTGACACGCTCCCACTCTCCTCATGTATACCAAGAGGGGACCCAGAAGAGCAAAAAAAAAAAAAAAAAAAAAAAAAAAAAAAAAAAAAACACACAAGAGGGCTATCATGTTTTACAGGATCAGCATGTGTTTTAATTCTGCCCTTCACCCTTGCCTCCAAGTGACTTCATAGCCAGGAGACCCCAGAGTTTGCGCTTCCAGTGGGGTTTCCTTGACCCACGAAAGAGCAAGCACACAGGATTTATTGTGCAATGCATTTTCTTTTTTTAATATCGGGCCTGTGGGGGAGGGGGATACCCGTGTCTTCAGGTGTCAGAAAGTCATTTGGTCCAAACAGACTTGCTATTGAATTTGTGTCACCATTTTGTCCTGCTTCCCCAACTTAGGGCAGTGCAACTAAAGGGGTCCTGCTTGAGACAGTGAGACAGGGCAAAGGCTAGAGAAAGTGAAGGTTACTTTTTTGCAGGGCTCTAGCATAAGGTAGAAATCCTACAAATTCATTTCACAGGTGTGTGCGTGAGAGAGCGCGAGTATATATCTTGGTCTCCCCAAGAGGCTGCAGCCAATAAAGAACCTGCCCCCTCAACAACCTCCAGGGCTAACTGGCCCCACGTTTTTGCCTCTCTTTCCTCCTGAATATTCCAGACACACTACCAGGGCATATTGATGAGAGCTATCCCATCCTCACCACCCTGTCTCAAAAATCTTGAAACCCAAAATTAGCTTAAGAGACCTTTATTAGTGAAGATCACAAACCAAATGACTCCAAAGATAATAGAGTTAAAGAGCAATGATTAAGCCTGTGTGTTGAAACATCACATCTTAATGCCATCTCTAAACACCCCTCCCTCCCATCTCTCCCTCTCTCCTGGGCACTTACCTTCTTTGGGCGGTCGCTTGGCCTCCCTGGTAAGATTGCAGACCTGGGTGGTTTGCAGCTCCTGGGTCAGGCAGCCCTCGGTCTGCTCATTCAGGGGTAACACCACGTTATTTAACAAAACCAGCGACTGGTCGTCGATCCCCCACTCTCCCAAATGCTGAGGGCAGGTGCATTTTGTATACATGATCCCACATGATTCTGTTCTCCCATTTTCTGATTTTAAGCAGCTCTCCAACCAAGTGCATAATACATGGCAACCAAACTGGCTTGGGCTCACCTTGTTCAATACCAAAAACTCAAAAAAAGATTTCTGATCTTCTTCCCCTTTTTTCTGTAATCCTGGGAAATCAGTTGGAAACACCCGACGTATCTGAATAAAATTTTTATCATATTGTAGAAAAACGAAAGCATTCTTGGAATCGCAGAGTTGCATTATAGAATGATTCTTTCTTAAAAGATCCTTTATTTTTTCATGGGAAAAATGATCAAACTGATAAGCCAAGAGGGAAAAGTTAGAGCAGCTAAGGTCCTTTTTGGAAAATTTCAGGTAAATGCTATATTTGGTTGGATCTGGATTTTCCAGCGTCCAAGTGCAGTTTGTAAAGTTTTTGGGAAACATTTCACTTACAGAATACGATCCATAAATGACTCCCTTCACCAAAGTTGAACACCAGAAGTCTTGGGCAGCATTAAATCCAAACATAACCAGGAGATAGGTGGAAAATATATAAATCAGCAGGTTACGAACAGCCTTCATCCTATGTCATTTGGCCTGTAAAAATGGCAATGAAAGTAAAATGCAAGTAGGAGTCTACACGCATTGAAGAAAGAAACTCCTTCCAATATTACAGCCAGCTGTTTTCAAGATTTCAGTAAAAAACCCTTTTTAAAAGAAGGGCAGGTAATTTTTTATTTTACAATGCTAGGAAATTATCGGTGGCTGTGTGAACAGCGCCCTCACGTGGTCATTCACAATGACCAAATTTTCTACATTCACTTTAAAAATAATATTTAATAGATTATTAACAGGAATGCTGTAATTTATCTACCAGGATTTCCTCCCAGTACATTATGATTCTATTGAAAGAGGAGGAAAACATACCTTTTAAATAATATCATAACCTAAGTTTTTAATTTTTGAAATCTTTTTAAGCAACCTATACAACCTTTTCTCTCCCTCAGTCGGCCCGAAGAAAACATCATCACACACAATCTAATCTGATAATCTGGGAACAGCTGTCATCACATTACTTCTTTTACCTTGAATATGAAAAGCAATTTTGATAAAGGATGGCCACAATTTTAAAAGCACAAATGATAATTTGTTGCAGATGAAACATCATCTCCCAAATACCCATACTTGTCTTTGCAGGGACCATCGTGTGAACTGATGGGAATTCCTGTGCAAAAACACCAACATTCATTTGGATTAATAGAATTTTAAGCCCATTATCTGAGAAAGGGCATAGATGGGTAGATACATAGGGAAGACTTGTTGTTCAACATCACCTCTGAGAACCAAGATTTAAGACAGTCATTTCAATGTGACATGCCCTCTTGGGATACATAAAGTGGATCACTGTATTAGTATCTGTATCCAAAGGCGATGTCGGTGAAAAATCCCAGAACCACAGCTGGCTTCAGCCTTTTAATTTTTTTTTTTTTTTTAAATTAGGGCTATTTTATCTAGAGTTATTTAAGATTTAACTCTAGTTACTGTAATTTAAGATTTATACATGGTAGATAAAAGACATTAGCATTTTCTTTCCTAGCAGATTTCAGTTACTGAATTGCTCCCTTTCCAACAACAGCTCCAAAGCTCCTTTTCTTTATGTTTTTTTAACCTGGCCTTGCATAATAAAGTAATCCTGGTTATATTTACCTCTGTAAGTTGTTATCCAAAAATAACTTGAATTTTTTTCAGCTTTAACCTTTAAGAAGTTATTTCTTAGAATAAATGACACTGCTTTTTTTTGTTTAGCCTTTGAGCTGAGAAAAGTGATGCCAAGTTAATTATAAAAGTCTTTAGGCTGCAGTCTCTTCCACTGTTCTGTAAACAGAGACAGACATACAGACATATAGACAGTTAAGAGTTTTCGTGTCTTTGCCTGGGTCCTCTCGGAACCAAAGGATAAAACCCTCTTCCTTCCCATTGCATAACACACACCAACGCATGCACACAAATACCAGTGACCGAAGTCCCTGAAGATAGATCTGCATTTTCCAGATCATAATTCAAATTCTATGTCTTGATATAGGAGAAAACAGCCCCAACTCTAAATCTCTATATAGCAGCAGTTTAAAATAACATCAGAACTGCTGGGACTATCAAAACAGTGTTCTCCGTTTCAAGCATATAGCTCAATGAATAATGCATTTTCTTTTTGAGAAAATAAAGCCAATGAGCACGTAAAGGTTAAAAAATTGGGAAAGTTGCAGGAAATTCTGGAAATAATTTCCTCTTTTTTTTGCTGTTGCACTTTGCAGGCAATGCAGGTCTGCGCAGTGTTCTTCAGGATAGAGTGTAGGCGTTGAGAGCCAATGTGACAATAAGTGTCTAAATTAGGAATTCCATCCATGAAAGGGGCTTCATTTTATAATCGGTAACTCAAAAAGAGGTCGTATTTCTTTTCCTAATGAAATCCAGTACTTTTGCTTCCATTTATTTGACAGTGCATGTCTGCATTGCTGTGCTCATCAAGGATTAGAAAGAGTGAGGAAATAGCTCTGATTTCACTTTCAAGCTTGCTCAAGAGAGCCCCCTCAATATAATGCTCTTTATTTTAATCCTTAAGCCTTGGTGTACGGAGCCTTGTTTTATACTAAAGAATCAAAAATGAATCACTGAACTCTGCCGCCCCCCCACCCCCGTCCCCGACTGCAGGGCCAGTTCAAACAATTGTATTTCCCTTTTTTAAGAAAGAAAGAATGGGGTGGGGGTGTCTAAGGGATGGCTACCAAGATCTCAAGGATACTGTATTTATTTATTTGTGTCCTGCTAAGAAGCAAACCGGCATTTAGTTTAGCTATTCTCCAAACTGATTTTCTGGGTGACACTTTAGTTTAGCCGAACATAGACGGCGCCATCACTCCACTAAATTTTTTCCCCAATAGAAGACCCACTGCCTCCCCTTATCTTAACTTCCTTCTAACCTAAAAATTTCTCCTCATAAAATCACCCCAATCACACACAACCGTCAGTTTTTCTAGGTCTCCTTGCCTGTTCCTTCCGACCATGCACATCTCTTGAAAAAACAGACTTCTCTAACTTTTCAACTGCGGCGTTTAAGTAAATGCAGACAGTCGGGTTTGGTCGTAGCCCCTCCATCTGCCAGCAACAGCCTTTCCTTTCCTTGTCCTCCCTCCGCAAACACCTAGACGAAAGCTCCTCGGTGGCGACCCCTGGCAGAGGGAAGGTGACCCCTGGACCCCCTTCCTTACCTTCCACTCCGAAAGCTCAGGGAGGCTCTTGCTCTAAGACACCAGCACAGGCACGCGTCCCAGCAACAGTGACGGAGAGACTCCCCTTCGGTCCCAATCACCGTTGCCCATTTTCCCCGGCTCAGCTTCAAAAATCAGGATTTATTTTATTTTTTTTTAAATGCACACTTAAGAGAAGCAAAAGATGGGGGAGAAAAATCAAAGAGGGAGGAGAGAAAAAAAGCCTGGGACCCAGACTGGCCTGACACTTAAGTAGCCAGCCTGAACCTCCAACCGAGGAGGGGCCCCAAATGAGAGACTCTAAAGAAACAAAAATATGCAAGTGGCTTAAAAGCAAGGATTTGTTTTTATCAAATCTACCCCCAACAAACCGATGAGCCAAGAAGCAAAGAAAGCGCTGAGACGAGAAGTGACTGGCGGCAGCAGCGGCTGCTAAGGCAGATTTGTTGGGGCGGTGGGTTTATTACAGGAGTATTCGTGGTCGGATCGGAAGGCTCAAGCTTATGCTCTTTCCTCTTTCACTTTCCTCCCTCCTCCTCCTCCTCCCCTCCCCGCAGGTACTGATGGACGGACCGCGACTGGGAGGGAAAAAATCACTGGCTGGTGATGTCAGGCTGTTTGAATGCCCAGCGAGGAGGGGCGCAGAAGGGGAGAGAGATGGTAAAACTCTGTCTCAGGTGTGCGCGCCGGCGCGCAGCATCCCGCTCTCCCGGGGCGCGCCAGGAGGGGTCTGCCTTGGGGTGCGCGTGCGCTCGGCTCCCGCGTGCTCTTGCGCGCACTCTGAGCGCCGCGCGCCCCGCGCCCCGCGCCCCGCGCCCGGCGCCAGCACCGATACGGTGCGCCAGGCAGCCTGACAGGAGCTCGACGAGCTGCGGCCGCTGTGCCTTCCCGTAGTTCTTGCCTCCCGGGGGCGCGGGTGGGTGTGCGTGAGAGAAGAGGAGGGAAGCAGCGGGGTGGGAAAGGAGGGAGGCAAGCAGAGGGCAGGAGACAGCAGGCAGGCTCCGCGGTGCTCCAGCCAGGGCCGCGGTAAGCCTGCACGTCACGGCTACTCAAAACCAAGCACGTCCCGAAAGCGGTATTTTCTGCGTCTGGGAGGTTTTTGCGCCCTCAGTTCCCACCGCTGGGGTTGGCGGCGACCAACTGTAAGGGAAACTCACTGGGAGGCGAAGCTAGGGGGTTGCGGAGGATTGGAAGGCGACTCTGAGTGTTGGGAAGTAAATACTGGACTTGATCGTCTCTGTCTTTCTTTCAGCGCGGACCTGTCGCAGCCGAAGAGCTGTCGTTTCATCGCCGGGGTTCAGATGAATTGATCCAGTCCTCAGCGGACGGGGCACATCTCAGTTCCCGAAATGCTGCGTGTCTCCGGCTGGAACAATACTAGTTTTTCTCAGCGAGGCTGCAATTAACATCTTGTTTGTTCTGGCTAGATACAGGCTTTGTCAGGACCGCGGTGCGGCGACCGAGGTTGGGCATCTTGCATTGCTTTCTGCATGGCAATGGGATCATGGTTGTGGGGGGGTCTAAACTTTTGTTTTCTTAATGTATCTGATTCTTCTTTAAGTTTCCCTAGTAACAGGTTTGTGGACAGTGGTAGAAAAAAAAAAAAAAAACAAAACAAAACAAAAACGAGGCAAAGGGGGAGGAAAAGCTACCGGATTCTCGATTTAGCAGCAACAAAAAGGATAAATTTCCACCACTCCCCACCTTTATTTATTTGGCCCGCTGGACGGTTGGCTGACAAGTGTTTGATGAACTAGCTTCAGATACAATGCTGCAAAAGGTCATTCGCCTACTGATTATGTTTCTACTTGTAAACGCAGTTGGTAGTTTGCAAAACAAGTGGCAAAATAGTGTGGTGATTCGGTGGGGGAGACCAGAATGGGTAATTCCTATGAAGTGTCGGAGTCTTCCTAAGGGTGAGTGGCTTGAGCGGCAGGTGAAGTTGAATAAAACAAATTTCCATCATCTTCTCTCTGTACTCTTTCTGCATTTTTCTTCCTCTTGTTGTTCCTCTCCCCTGGGGCAAATGGAGAGCCAAGAACATTATTTTAAAATAGGACTATAATGAAAATAGAAAGGTGCCAATGATCTTTTATTCACTGGAGTTGCTTGAAATATTAAAATTGGCCCTTTACTTCTTAATACATATTAATAGGGTGACCCTCTTCAAGGCTTTCTCTTCTAGGACAAGTGTTCAGAATAACATCCTGTAAGGGAAACAGTTAATCATTCCCCATCCAACAAGCTTTAACCATGTTCCAGGAACATTCACTGGCTGAGAGAGCAGCCTTTGTGGCATTTTGGTTTTGTGTCATT